TCAGCTACAGATGCCTCTCCCGAAACATTGACTGTCCCACCATCAATGTTATTTCCATTCCACATAGTAGTATATGGGCTCACATCCAGGAAGCATCAACAGGTCATAAGTATATTTAGAAAATCAGTGCTTTAGCTATAAAAAATCCCGATAAACCTTATACTTGGAAAAATGTGTTAGTATATTTCTAAGACTGAATCTTAGTTCCTCTTAACTCCCCTGTCATTTAACAACTATTAAGAAAATTTCACGACTCACCACTAGGAGGCCACTCGAGAGTATTATACACCTACAGATGGTTAACACAATAATTCTATTGATTGTCGATGTACAAGATTGTGCAACAATATGTGTAAGCGTGTAATACTTGCCAAAAAGCCAAAGTAGACACCCTGATCCTGGTAAGGCTCTTGCAACCATTACCAATACCATATCAAGTTTGGGACAACATCATAATGGACTTCATAGACGACTTACCACCCTCAAATAGTGAGAGCACCATTTTGGTAGTAGTGGACCGCCTAAGCAAAACATCACACTTTGTGGCCCTGACACATCCTTACACAACAAAAGAAGTGGCAGAAAAAATTGTTGAGAATATCATCAAGCTTCACAGCATGCCATGATCTATTATATGTGATCGAGACCCCATTTTATTAGCCATTTTTGGCAAAAAAGAAATTTAAGTTGTGAGGTACCAAACTCAAGATGAGCTTCTCATATCACCCCTAAATGGACGGTCAATTTGAAGTAGTAAACCGATGTTAAGATATATCTTAAGTGTCTTGGCCATCAACATCCCCAGAAATAGAGCACACTACTTCCATGGGCTAAATTCTAATATAACACCATCTTCCACCTATCGGCATGACATCTTTCCAAGCCTTATATGACAGATCACCCCCACCATCCCTCATTATCAGGTTGGCACCACACCAGTCAATGAAGTGGACCAGTAACTCATTAATCAAGATCAGCTAATACAATAACTCAAGATCAATCTACACGCCGCTAGAAATAAAATGCAACAGATGGCCAACAAGAAAAGGCGTGATATAGAATTCATAGAAGATGATTGTGTGTTCCCCAAACTACAATAATATCACCAACAGACCGCCTTCAAAAGAGTTTTTTAGTAATGGCTTGCAAATATTATAGCCCTTACCAAATTATTCAATGAGTAGGGCTCGTCACATATAAGTTCAAACTGCTAGAAGAGACTCGTATCCACCCAGTCTTCCATGTTTCTATGCTCAAATGGAAAGTGGAAGATTCAGTAGGCCCAAATGAAGAATTATCGCCCACTGCTACAGAAGGCGACACGCACTCTCTCCTTTGAACTCTCCAGAGCGACATTGATCTTGCTCATGATCTTACTAAAACTCTCTCATTTCCTTTAGTTTTCATATAAAACTTGATTCTTCACATAATCTAACATGATATCAGAGTTATTCTGATTGTTGTTCAAACGAGAGAAATCAAGTAGCAGTCGTGAAACTCTTAATTTTTGTTCAGCTACACGTGAAACACAATTTTTCAATCATTTCTTCAAGGACAGTGATATGGATCCCTCAATCTGTTCAAATTCAACAAAGATAGAAGAACCGCTCGCAAATCCCTATTATTTGCATCCAAACAAGAGTTCGACTCGCATACTCACTTCGGCCATCCTTACAGGTAATAACTTTCACTTTTATGAACCCAGTGTACCATATACAAATTCAAATAAGTAACAGAGGAATAATGTTGGACAAAATAGAAGAAATTATTGCGGCTAAAAAAATTATTGTAAAAGGTCATGCCAAATCTCCGAGGATTTGCCTTTTTCTTTTATTAAGGAATAGTATCAAATGATCCAGCCTCTTACACCCACTTGTCAACCTCCTTCTTGCCAGCTTTGTCGTGGCCTTAGCTCCCGTTCTTGCGGATCATGATATGCTTTAAAATATTTGTGTTGCTGATCTTTCCTCCATTATTCTTCTTACTCTTTTTTTTTTCTTTTTCCTCTATTTTCTTCTAAAAATCATATACTTATATTGAGCTTAACTATGTGCTAGGAAATTTCTTAACAGGTGTGAAGATCAATGGCTACCCTTGTAAGGATTCAACAAGTGTATCTCTGTATTAATGAACGAGTGGTTGAGAGGATCAAATCCAGGTCTGCACCCAAGCCTTCAATTATTGTGGCTAATTTACAATGTTGATCAAAGGTGCCATTTGTATTTTTGCTTCATCTTTATATTTATATTGTTCATCCTGGATCTTGAATTTTTTAATTATAATTAAAATATATATTTTTTATAATTAAATGTATTATAAATTTTCAAATGAAATTTATATAAACAGATCACTATATAATACAATTTAACCTGCAGTACCAAAATGTAACAATAAAGTATCTAAATTTTGACAGAAGTAAGACTAATACAAACAATGTAATGAAATTTAATTATAAATTTGTTGACATGAAAAAATTTATTAAAGTTATGTTGTAAATGACATTGTCACCAAATTTAATAATGTTACCATAAAAATTTACATATTTTTAAACTATAATCAATTGATTTAATATTAAATATGAAGATATTTATTATTCTTGAATAATTTAGAATTTTATTTATAAATTTACACTGATTTCAACTATAAAATTATAAAAGTCTTATCTAAATTAATATAAATTAATTTTATACAGACTTTTACACATAATTCTATATACTTAATTTTCTTGTAACATGGTACAATTAAAAATTATTCTAATTGAACAAAATATACATTTATAAATAACTACAAATTTTCTAAATTTATTCTGAAAATGTGTTTGATTTAAATAAGAGAATCTGTAAATATTACTGGAATTAATTGTTATGTAAAATTGAAATAATAAATTATAAATTCTATTGAAATTAATGAAATTTAAAATAAATTGGTTGAATTCTATGTGACAATTGATATGAACTTAATAATTAAATTGATTGTAAATTTTAACTAATAAATCAGAAGAAAAATTTAATATTTATGTAATTGAACCAAAATAAATTGCTGACGTGGCACGTCTATATGCCTCCACGTCAGATAATATATTTGCCGCTTCTCCAAACTACTTCCGGTTTCCGTTAAGAACACGAACGGAGAAATTAACGACGTAGGAAAGTAGAATGACCATAATGCCCCTAAGGAGTAATGCTATTAACAAAACTGATCGTTTCTGCTTTGAATTCGAGCGGGACGACCTGCAACTAACACTGAACAAACTCCAGTCAGTTAAAAACCCCAACACAAAACCCCTTCTCCTCCTCTCTCTTCGTTAAAAGAATTCAAGAATTACGCCATTGGAGGAGAAAGGAAAAGCTCCAGTCTTTTGCCTTCAGCAATGTCCATCCCTATTATTGAAACTTGTAGGAAGAGAAAGAGGAGGCCGAAGATATTTGGGTTTCACAAGTTTGCATTACCCGGGGTACCCAGTAAGCCTCACGGGTCCTTTCCGCGACAATGTGCGGATTTTCCTTGAAGAATGTGCAGAGCCTGAAGACTATTACGTGGGAGGAATGCCCATCTGGTGTACTCTTCTGGTTCAGAGAACAAAAGCTTTGCTCTTCCTCTTTACACCATTGAAGAGAATGTTCAGTGCTCCATTGGACTGTACTGCGATCACTGCAGATGCACTTGTTAGATTTTGAAAATACAGAGACCTTTTTCATTTTAATGCATGCTTTGATTTTCTCAGA